TAAGGAATCGAGTCTAAGCGCACATGATTGAATTCTGTGAAATCATAGAAAGTGAGCCTACACTCATTGAATACTTTCTGCGAGAGTTGTGGTTGAGTGCAAGGAATCAGAGCGTATATCTGTATACCAGTCAAACTTTACTATAATATTTGGTTTAAACACATTTCTCTTAGAGCAAAACTTTAAAAGAAATAAAAATTAATAATTAAGGTACTTTTGACACCATTTTTTTTTTAATAAATAAGTTATTTCGATGTAAAACTTCTGGCTCTGTACTAGGGCACAATAATCTTATTATAATGTCAATCTGAATTAATAAATTAAATCCAATTCCAGTGCAGAACAGGAAACGTGTTATGCGATATGTCAAACCTGAACCTAGTTTTTTCTTGTATGCGTATTATTATAAACGAAAAATAAAATTATATATTTATTCATAAAAGTCAATAAAACATTTCATGTTCAAACTGGTTATAGTTATTTTTATTTTGACGCTGTGTAGTATTACAGTTTGTGTTTACAATTTTTAGCTGTTACCGGGGTTCTATCGCATATTTGTTGTATGCAGACATGAACTACCGGTAACTGGTAGCATAGTGGTTGTTGCATCGGCCTCATGATTGGTAGACCAGATTTCATAAATTTTATCTGGGATTAAGTACTGGCAATTGGAAGGCCGAGATTCATTCACTCTCGGATTCTACTTTTTGGGAACATTAGTTAAGGTCAGTGTGTGCTTTCATTATATCGGCCCTTATTGACGCCAGTTTATTGGCGCATTACACTGTTCTAACTCTGTCAGGCTTTCTAAAACTGAAATATATATACACTCGTACATGAAAATTGCGCATAAAACCAGAAAAAGTGTCTGTCACCTGGCACATTTAAATAAAAGGAGTGATGTTCTGCTGTCATGATCGCGTCCATTTCACTACGATGAAGTATATCAGGGTGAATAGTGGACGTGATACAGAATGGAACACTATGTGAGGAGCAAAACTAAATCTCGTGGCATTCTCGCTCCAAATGAGATCTCGGGGGCCATTTGTATGGTAAAATATTGGCATCGAAGTTATTACTCGATTGAGAGAGTGTTTCGCTCATATGTGTCTTGCATTCCAGATAAAACAGTCGCGTTGCTGCTTTGTTCGATACGTACCGGTAGGTTTAGGTTATTTCAGACCAACATGCCAAAGGTCGAAGTGATCTATTAGTAAACGATTTATTGAAGAGATTAATAAGAGAATTGATCAAAACAATATTTTTACATAAGCCGTTTTAGAATAACCATGAACGTCATTCGTTTTTATTCGTGAATGTTTCCATTTGCACACTTTTAGCCAAATTGCCTTAGTTCTAAGTCCTGTATATACGTTTGTATCTCTGACCACATAGTGTACTAGTATTACAAAACATAACTCCGTAATCGAGGTAAAATGAACCAACGTCTTTCTCGAACATTTGCACCATTATCCCCCTTATTTGTATAATACTTCCTAATAATGTCGTAACGCTGTATGGCTCAGCCTCACTTTCGGGCTATATGAATTCAAAACTAGTACTCTGTACATAATTATACTTGTTGATACACACAACACACGTTAACATTTATTTACAGAATTTGTGTATAATATTTTGTATGTTAAATAAAACGATTGAAGTATAAACAGTCACGGTATCATGTAACGGTGGTTACATTGTCCTGCGTTGATAGAAATCAGTAAATCGACAAGTTACGACAAATCACGATATCGACCGACAACAGGTTAACTGAGAGTTGAGCACGAATTAGATGCGACCGCGCTCTTATAAGACTACCCTTTACACCTATTCCACAATAGGTTGTTTACAAGACATTTAGAATCAATCCTATTTTCAAAGTGTATTGAAATTGGAATGTTGACCATAGAGGTAAACTCGTGCTTAAATTTTGAGTGAGTGTATAATATATTTTCAGCGATGTGCTTTTATCACGTACGCGTTTGTTTTTGCATTTTGTTTTTTGAGTACCTAATCAGAATTTGACGCATGCGCAAATCTGCGGATAAATAATCTGTATGTAAATCAATATCAATAACAAACTGTAAAAAAACAGTTGTTGGTTTTTGACAAATGAGTCAAAAGTAGGACCATTTTTAGAACAGGTAATCACTAGTTTGATATGAAAGGGTCATTTATTGTGCAGGTCAAAAGTTCAGCTTCAACTTGTAGATTTTAGATTAAAAAAACACTCACCTCTGAACAATAAATCCATGTCTCTCCAATCACTTAAATGCTGGTTCTCGGACGCGGGCTTTCTGTAACGCTATATTTCGAATCTTTTAATGTGTATTGTTTCGACATCTGTTGTTTACTTTCACATTAGTCTTAATTAGTAAATTACAGTATAGTGTCGCACGCAAAATTTAAATTGTTGCTATATTTAGTATCGTGACTATTATTTTTAGTTATGTTCTGCCGATGTAATTACACAAAATTATCGATATAAAACAAACACACTGTATTTGGAGTGGTCCATAAAAGGCAGTGTTGGTTTCCATAGCTACATGATTATATCTTCATTAATTGACGTAATAATATATGAAACATATAGCTTCAATTTTTCAGGTCAATTTTCAGCGCTGCGATTACAGTCATGGCGATCAGTGCATGTTTAGTACGGAGGCGTGGAAAATTTCTATCTTGGTGTAGTATTGGACTGCTGATTAGCATTCTCGGAATTACATACTGGATGCACTTCCGGTCAGGTGAGATATACCAGTACGCTTATGCTTACGTATACCTTGTCACGAAACGTGATGCTGTAACTTTAAAGCGGGAGGGTCGTCACCTGCGCACGCGCGGGAATTGAGTCCCAAGCGACGATAACAACACACGCTAAAAACGCAAAGGCTCATGGGTAGACGCATGTTTGTAAACAATGACACGCTATGGCCATCTGACGCATGCGTAGGTGACGACTCCCCCGCTTTAAGTGGCACTTATACTAGTGTTTGCTTTTTGCAATTTCAGTATATATTACTATTTGGAAAGAACGAATAATAAAAAACTAAACTAAACCCACGTTTCTTCACATACTAGTATATATTCACATTATACCACATTTGTTGTAGGTAATCCACCAGTCTACAGACCGTTTTCCGAAATGGAAACACATGACACATCCATGCTGAGTGGTGATGAATCTGTCACAACGCAACTGGCTAGACATACTAGTACGACCGCGTCACCAGCAGATGCCATTAAGGTAAGGGTATAAACAACTCGGTGTTCGTATTGACCATCTTACGTGAGCTGATATGAATTTGACGGCCAAGTTGTTATTTAAAGGCAAATTGACGTTATGGGCTCCCAGGTGTAAATGCTCAACATCTGTGGGTCGGTTGTTATAGCGCCACCAAGTGACGAAACGTTTAATAACTTTGTCTTTACGGGGAAACGTTCAATAACATACCACTGTACACGAGCGGCATTATGATATGAACGTCTGATACATAAACTGTACTAAATTCCGTATGTTTAACCCTAGCATAGAATTTGTAATTTGAATAGGATAACGCTATATTTTCATAATGTTATTAGCTTTTGAACATCACTTTGTGAGAACACTATGGCTAGAAAACCCTCGACATCTTTTCTCATTCTACCGAAACTATTTCTACAGTACGCGTGCAGACAGACGTGAACTAACATGTCTGGCTATACTCAAATATTGGTGGAGTGGACTCGCAAAGATGATAATGGATAGGCGTGTTGCTTGGATTTTGAACAATAGCCACACTAATCTTAAAAAAAAAAAAAACGTCGAAGCTCAGCTAAAAAAAAATGACTGACCGACCTGACTGCGTGATCGTGATTGACTTCAGTGTTCCGTTGTGCGATCGGATGCCCCTGCACACGATAGCGAGTAGTTCGTAAAAGTTCCATTGGGCTTTATTACAGCAAGGTGTCTGAAAATCGCCATTTGAACATTCAGTCCACGCAGGTTCTTCTGAAACTCTACTCTACAACTCGGAGTTGATCTTTCGACTTCGAAAGACCCCCCTGCTGACTTCGCGTGTTCTGATACAAAACTCACAGCATTTTCACAGCAACATACCGCCCATCTATCCTCATCACCTGCGAAAATATTTTAATTTGCTAGTGTTGATTGAAATTCAACATCTCGGAAAGTTGCATAAACATGTGCGTGGATTTGGTAAACGTAATGTTGCCGTGTCCGCGTAAAAGATTTATATGCAATGTTACATCACCGCCCACAAATATGAAATGAACCAGAGCTCTTCTGTTTCCAAAAACAACAAACAAATAAATATGAAAATAAAAATTTTAAGGACGCCAACCGTACCAAAATGTTTAAAGGGCGGCAGTCGTCGCGCTGTGCATGTGCGACATTTGTGTTGACTAACATTGATTTTCCCACAATCCAATGCGCTCTTCTAATGAAAATCACAAGTTGAGGTATGACCTTGGCGCAAACTTGAACTAATTACTGCCGGTGAGTCCTTCGATACCTTCTAATCACCTAAAATAGCTAATTAAATCTTGGTAACGTCAAATTTTGATGTCAGATTTTTCATTTGTTTTTCTATTAAAAATCTTTCTTCAAAAATAACTTGTCTTTCCATGTGCACTGGGTGAATGATTGATATGCAAATTAGCCATTCTCTAAACTTGTATTTCGTGGTTGGATAAGAGATCTCTCTGTCAGGATTTCGCGAACACAACATTACATACCAAAAAACAGCCTTCGTTTTAGAGACACACCACTTGCTTAGTGTGAAATCAAATCAAATGGGCACACATTACGGGAGCTGGTAAGGTTTGTACATAAGGCTAGCATAAGGGTTAAAGCGGGAGGGTCGTCACCTGCGCACGCGCGGGAATTGAGTCCCAAGCGATGATAACAGCACACGCTAAAAACGCAAAGGCTCATGGGTAGACGCTTGTTTGTAAACAATGACACGCTATGGCCATCTGACGCATGCACAGGTGACGACTCTCCCGATCCCGCTTTAAGCTAAACCTAAACCAATTAAACGTTACCGTTGTCGTTACAGGAATATGGATATAGACACGTGACTCTTTGGACATATAATGAAAGATTGGCGCTGTTGAAAGCCCAGTGTAGCGTTTCATCATCAACGCGGTTACCTAGCGACGTTCTCCAAAGGCTTATTGTTGATGACGTGTATGAATTCATCTATTGTGTTGTACAAAAAGTTGCCAGTGGCAACTGGAAAACTGCTCTCAGTGAATTAAAAATGCATTATACTGATGAGAAATGGAAACCAAATTTGAGAGATTTTAATATGGGTCTTCCTACTTTGAAGGAATATTCTCCACAGCAAATCCAATATCGTCTTGAAAACTACTTTAAATTCATTTTTGTACGCCACCCTTTGGAGAGAATGTTATCCGCTTATCGCGACCGCTTCGAGAGGAACGACAAGGGAAGGTTGATACCACAATGGGAAAATATACATTCACTGAAGAGTTTTGTTCATTACTTAAAAGAGACAGTAGCCAAGGAGCGAGAAGATCTTAACATCCACTGGCGGCCAATAGCGAACCTCTGCCAACCGTGTGAAGTAACATATGATTTCATTGGTCATTACGAGACACTTGATGATGACGTCAACTATATCTTCTCTGCCTATGAACTCAGTTCTGTTATCAATTTCGGTTCCCATCCCTCATACGCAACGGGTAGTTCAAACCGGACGATTTTACGAAAGTATTACGCTAACTTGTCTTCCGGAGATATGCTCTTTCTACACAAACTCTACTCGAGTGATTTTGAGCTATTTGGTTATTCAAAAGACAGTTTCAGTTAGATTATTCCACAGTCCCAGGACTGTGATTATTCATTGTACAATGATGTTAAAACGGGAGAGTCGTCACCTGCGCATGCGTCAGGTGGCCATAGCGTGTCATTGTTTACAAACAAGCGTGTACCCATGATCCTTTGCGTTATAAGCCACTGTTG